ATAGAGGAACGAAGCGCAGACTGGCGCCGTTGAGTGACGATTTCACTTCGCCTACCATTAGCTGTGCAGTGCTGTCACAATGGCGGCGTATTAGCATGGTATTTGGCACATCGACGTGCAGCATTGAGACGATGTGGCGTCCATTTTAATGTCGTCATATCCCAACAGTAGGAAAAGCAGCTTCGTGTTATGTACCGCTTTGGAATGTTTGCTGTGGGGGAAGAGACCGCTGGAGAGACCTAGACATAGATGGGAGGATAATCTCAGGCGGGATCTATGGGAGATAGGAGTTGAAGGAGACTGGATTTTGTTGGTCCGGTGGAGGGCTTTGGTTAGTTCGGTGATGAACCTTCGGGTTCCCTAAGCCGTCTAGTTAGTTAGTTGTAAATGTTCTCCTTGTTGTTTCTTGGCCTCGTATTCGCCGGCTTTAGCTTAACAAACTCAGGTTAGGTTATCCGAAGCGTCACTTTAGGGGACTAAGGTCCATTTGAAACACCACCAGGTAATGCCCCTAATATGTACTTAAAATCAGGGTCATTTACCCCGTGGGTCATTGCAGCCCAAGCACTTCCCCAGGACGCTTGCTTCGTTGAGGCATGGCCCGTAGTCTTGTTCGTCCGGGGGTTCTTACCCCTCGGCTACTTCTCCCCTCGTACCCCCTGCGATTCCGTCATCGCAGTTTCGACATTACTGTAAGAATGATCTAAGTGCATTGTTGGTCAGGGATCACATTATAGCAATACTGACTTGCGTGAAGAACACCTTAGGAATAACAGAATACTCCTAAGAGTACACTTTTCCAAACTTCTTTTTAAAGAAGCTGTTGGCATTCGAATAATGGGATTATGAACGAGTTCATTGAATGATTTGGAAAGAAATTACTCCTCTCTATTTTAATTTACGGCTCTTGTATTAACGTGGACAGAAACGCAAAAACACTCCCAAACACGACTGACAGTCTCCAGGCCAATACCTGAACCCAAGACCCACCAAATATGGAGCAGGGTTGCCAACCACTCATCAGCGAGGCTGGGTCTAATACTGTTTACATATGCGGTCTGTTTATACAAAGTCAGCTGTCTGTAGATTTCCGCGGCCTCTGACGTTAATTTAATTATTTCCTAGTAAGGTTAGGTTATTGCGTACACAACAGTTTCGTCATGGCTACAAGAAAAGACAGCCACTGCGTGCTACATTGCGTAATTCTATTATCATCTTACAATTCAGGGTTATGTTTTCCAACCGGCTTACTTCCGTGGTCTTACAACATAAGATTTTTGGTAGACCTGTAAGCTGTCACTTCTGTAAGTGGTGCATCTTTGAATTACACATAAAGTCCCTCAACATGTGATTTTCTACACTTCAGGAACCAATTCATTCCTCTTTAGGTACAAATACTCTTTGAGATGTCAAACAATTCGGTAAGTGACGAACCAACCATACAATACAATGTGTTATATAGTCATTCAAAAAGTAACCATATTTTGAAGTATTGTATTTAACCAAATGACTGACTTAAATGGAAAACGAATCTTTTCAAAAAAGACACTATTAATTTAGTGATATTATATATATAAATGTACCTTTTTCGTGCCCAGCGCTCCTGCTATGTATTCAGAAAAACTTGGCCCGGAGATTGGCTATCCTGTTTTCTTAAACGATTTCCTTTCACACTGAAGTTAATTGCCAACCTAACCTTCCAATTCATTTATCATCCTATTACTTGCCACTGTGTTGCCTGACCCACTGACAGCACATATAACAAAATAAATATTCAGTACCCTAGGTGCCATTTACGCTGGACAAACATGTTCAGTGTCAGTCCATACTTAATTCAGTGTGTCTGAAGGGACAACTGGAGTTGCTTGTAGCCAGACTGGATCAGTTAAGTTCTAATTCCCCAATTATACAGATATAATATTGATTGGTTGTTTTGGTTATCACATATTGGACCATCTATTCCAAATCCAATGTCAAAATTCTGGGTATAAAAAATTCTTTGGTGGGGAGAAATGAGTTTAATTAATTTTTTTTTCAAAATTAGATGTGTTGTGAGAAACTATACTGTTTTTTACACCTCTTGGGGAAAAAAGTCAAAATACATCTGTTTTCCTCTATTAGCATGGGTAAATATAATATTAAATTAGCTTCATGTGTTTTTCTGTGAGAAACAGTGGAATTGGATTTATTCTGTTTTGTTATAGCAAACAGATCCAAGAAGTAAAAGTCATCTTGTGCTGATTTAACCAAATGATTATCTAGATGGCAGGAGTGTCTTGTACTTTCCAATTCAGCGACCATAGCCTACAATTGTAACCCTGTGCCTCTTTCAAGTGGTGGTTAAAAACAGGTATTCATTATGACATTAAATTTTGCTGTCTATGGAAGGGTAAAAATCTTGTTAAAGCAAGTGGAGTTCAGGGGCTGTAGTTTAGTACAGATGGCAAGAAAACAATATGATAATGTGAAGAATCAGTCTTATGTCAATGTAAAAAAAAGCAGTTAGTATGAATGTGACCTTCTTCAAGAAGATGAAAGACACTCTACATGAAAATGCAAGCAGAGTTACACCACCATGAATAAAAACCTAAGACCTGGATGCAGTAGAAAGAGCTTTTTTTGCGTACTCATGATTCTGGTAATTTATAAATAAACCTGGTTTTTCCCCAATGAAAGATGGCACTATTAGCACTTGCTGCTAAAATGAAAACTTATTTGCGACCGAAAGAAACAAAGACTGAGACGCAAACAGATGTGGACCACATGAAACCAGCCTACCTGCTACTTAGTGCTGTTAAGTTTCTTCCTCAACTGAATGACCTGCACTCGATAACCTGCATACATCACAGTGTTCCTTATTGTATAATATTACAAATTTCTCATTTACAACTTTATTCTTCAAGATTCAAATCATTTCCTGACCACTCTGTTTCACACCCACACAAAACAGCTGGTAATTTTAATGTCTTGTATAATCTAACCTTTACAATTTTGGAAAGTGAAGTTTTTTCTCCAACTTTTCATAATTTAATCATGGACCTTATTTCTATTTGGTCTTGATGTTCACAGACACTTATTTGGAAGTATTCTTGAATAATTTATAACCTTCATGCTTCGCTGCAGTAAATTCCTCTAGTGTTGGTCTTAAACATTCGTGGCCTCATTTGCAACACTCATTGATGGGATGATGTCAAGGAAGGAGGCTTTCAGCTTAATCTTAGCTTCCGACCATAGGGGCATCACCCTTGGTGAACTAGTGGATACTTTGCTTGCTACAGACCCAAGGTCCGTGGGTTCAAACTTGGCTGAGGTCAATGGATTTATAAGGGTGATAAAAATCTGTAGTACAACTTCCTTCGGAGGGCGAGTAAAGCTGGCAGTCCCATGTCGTTGATTTACGGCACGTAAAAGAAACTTACGAGCATAAACGAGATGTTTTGTAAGCAAAATTCAGCAGCCATTTCTCAGCCACATATCTCCTGATTCTCTACTAGATGGCTCTGGCAGACATAATCAGGATTGAGTAGAAATTGTGCGGAGGCAGTGGGCTGGTCACTCACTACTCAGAGATGCACACTTAAAAGATTAGGAAAACATCCGAAAGGAGGCAGCGAAGACCGACATTGGTTGTAGAGCCACAGGATGAAGAAGAACAGACCATAGGAGCAATAAGCCTGTACCAGAACTTACCGGTGATTGAAATCGCAGAAGACGAAACAACAAGAAACCAGTCTTTTAAGACGTGGCCAAAGGAACCACTAATGAATGCCAAACCAAAGCGGAGGAGGCAAAGACCGTAGATAAAGCATACCGGAGAATGTTTTTCCAAGCTTATTTAATTATAAAAATCACATAATCAACAACTGCCAACTTCACAATTGTTTTAACATGAGTTTCTTTGAGCAATAAAAATATGACAATCTGAAGACTCAGCTACAGAACTGAAAGATACAAATAAGAAATGAACGTTATCCTACGATTACTGGGGAATTACTTTAATCTTCAATGTAACTTAAAATACAGTTAAATGTTGAAGATCCATGCAAACCAGCAGACAAAATTGGCCAAAACTGAAGTTAATCGTGAATTTTAATAATGGTTTTAGTTAGAACGATATATTATATATGTAGATGTCAGTAGTACTTAATTCTATTAAAGATGTTACAAAACCCATGAATTTATGTTTTTGTGCCATGTACATGAACAGCACTGTGACTGGTAAGTAAATTTAATTACATACAGTAGCGGAAACTTTTAAGAATTTTGAAAACTTTTACTGAATGAGTTGAGATTTCAGGTTTTCATGGCAGCGAGTAACGACCGTCTTCTGGGATCTTGCACGTGGCGTAGTCTAGTAGAAGTTTACGTACATTTCAGAGGTGCCTGCTGCCTCCAAAATGAGGGCAAAGAGTGATCACCCTGATGATAAAGGCAGCAAGCACCTCTGAAACATCAGTAAACTCTTATCACACTACATGGTGCAATATTTCAGAACAGTCATCTTCGACTGAATGATTTCACCACGTCTGAACCCACAAAATCAAAACGTCAGGATAACTGAAGGAACATTTCTGACCCATCTGCCTGTGTGCAAGTAAGAACGGAAAAAGAGAACACAAAAATCATCATGAATCCTTTGGAAGCCTACTGTTATACAAGGTGCAACAAAATTCTCAATGTTAACTCAATATGAATACGTGTTCTGTTTGTAGGGATGAAAGTAAGTGACCACCAAGATGCATTTCTGCACTTGCCCTTTGACGCCACTTGCAGAGTGCGTTCATTCACTTATATGTTGAACACAACTGTCACTTCCTGGCTGGAACTACATGACTCGCTGCCAAGGACTACAAGGTTTTCTGAATATGACTCAAGCATCACTTGACGGAAACAATAAAATCAGCTTACCTTCTTTACAGCAGTTCCTGACGGGAGCCAAGACGTGACAGTCGGGCTCAACTTCATCAATGAACGCACCGCATAAAGATGAAAGCAAAAGGTCCATCTTTTCTTTTTATTAGTAACTACAAAGCCACACAGATTAAAACAATTCACTTGTAGAATTCGTGCTCCGACTCGTCCTTCTTGATGTTGTTCTTGTAGCCCTTCTCGAAGTCCTTCGCAAGGACGATGTATCGGTTTTCGCGGACGGCGTGCATTCCGGCCTGCAACGACGAGAACAGACGACAGTTCAAAAAGTGCCCTTCCACCTGCACTTTTGCACTATGCTGCCAGGCAGCTGAATGTGCAGAACAGAACTGGTAACACCAAACACCTTTTTCGCCAGGCAACCATTCTGACACCAAAAACTGGAAAAGTTTCGAAGGCCTTCAACAGTTTCAGCCCATTATTATCAAACATTCAAATTTCAGAGGCAGAACTGAGAGCACACTTGGAAGATCCAACAAATTTCTATCATAATTTATGTATAATTCCCTAATGAGTTAATGGAACACAACGTCACATATTTCTGTTACAGTGGTTAATCACTACATATGTAATTTTACAGAATAAATCCAGTTAATTGTCAGAGCATATACAACATTAGCAGCTGAGTAAACTCTAAGCATGTCAGCCAACTCTGTCGGGCCTCGTCTTACCAAAGATTTACAGTCTAAACAGAACAGGCGTATCATTCAAATTAACCTACTGGCACTTCCAGAAGTACTGACTACAATATGCAGGTACATTACCAAGCAGGACTTACAAGTATATCAATTATTTATATTGTTACCCACCTCCTGGCAGATGGCATTGATATCTGCACCAGAGATGCGATCAGGACGCGCCACATAATCTTCTAGATCCACTTCCTCACTGAGGTTCATTCTTGATGTAATTGTAGAGAATACAAGTCTCTTCTGTCGCCTGTCTGGTAACGGGAATTCGATCTTACGGTCCAATCGCCCGGGCCGAAGTAGAGCCGGGTCGAGAGTGTCTGCACGGTTGGTAGCCATGATCACTTTCACATTCGTGGTTTGATCAAATCCATCCATCTGGTTCAGAAGCTCTAGCAAGATTCGCTGAACCTCCCTGTCTGCACCGGTCTGGGCATCAAAGCGCTTCGTGGCGATGGCATCGATCTCGTCGATAAATATGATGGCTGGCGAGTTCTCTTTGGCTAATCGAAAGACGTCCCGCACCATACGGGGCCCCTCACCAAGGTACTTCTGCACGAATTCTGATCCCACCACTCGGATGAACGCGGCTGCAGCACAGGAAGAATCAAATGATTCAGTTTTCAACTTCTGTGACGTGAACAGTCTCCTCAGAATATAAATAACATGCAGGATTAAAATAACAAGTTTTTTGTCTTCTGGGTTGTAGTACCATGAGGTATGGTAGATATTTATTAAAACTTCAGAGGCAACAAGCACCTCTGAAATATCGATAAACGTCTACCAGTTTACACGGTGCTATAACCCTTGCTCACGTTCGCTGCCATGAGAAACTGTAATCTCAAGGATTAAGACATGTCCCCTCGCCTTCGCTTTCCCACACTATACTGGACTTCTTATAATGCTTAGCAGTACATTTATATTGCCTCAGAAGTTGGTAGATGGCGGCTAGCGGATGTGGCACTTAACCACACTAATTACCTATGAAGACATACAGGATTTAATTAGCACAATAAAAATGTGACAGTATATAAAGGCGCACTGTACCGGGGTCAAACCGAACATATTATATTTTGCACTGCTTATAGTATAGTATAGTTCAGTATAGTGACTAGCTACGGGCTGGACGACCGGGGTTCGATCCCCGACAGGAGCAGAGGATTTTTCCTCTAGCCTCTGCGTCCAGACCGGCTCTGGGGCCCACCCAGCCTCCTGTCCAATGGGTACCGGGATCCTTTCCTGGGGGTAAAGCACGGCCAGGGCGTGATGCTGACCACTCACCCCCATGTAGTGTCGAGGTCAAGAAAGAGTAGGAGCTATACCTCCACTCCCCCGATGCGCCTACATGGCATTAGTGGGACGCTTTACTTTTTTACTGCTTAATGTTTTACAGAGTCGGAAGAAATTGCTCGTCTGTCAGCTTCATGTCTACGTAATAAAAGTTGGCTCTGATTAAACATGTGACAGAATTTAGATCAAATATGTTTGCCCTAAAATCAGTCAGCAAAATTTGATTCTGAATGACAGTGATCTATCACTGCTACCAAACAGAATATGATGAAAAATTCAGCTGAAATAGTGGTCCCATTTCAGCAAAATTTGGTACAAATAAACTATTATTATTATTTAGTGTTCTGTCTGACGACAGGTCCATATGAACAGGATCCTTTCATCCTTTTCTCGGACTGGGACCTGTTCATATACGTTCTTGGCAGATGATCCAGAAGTGGTTTGCCATTGCCTTCTTCTGTGTGTGAATGGAGTAATTGTTGGGATGTCACGGAGGAAAACTCCGTGATGCCTAGACCACGGCCTTGCCCAACACAAGTTATAAATTCGGGCACCGCCGGGAATCGAACCCGAGACCCCAGGATTACAAGACCAGAGTTCTAACCGCTAGACCACCGTGGCATTACAAATAAACTACAGTAAAAAAAAGCTACAAATCCATTTTGAGCTACCCAAGCACCCATTTGTAACAATTTACGATCTCTCTGCGCAGTGAATACACTTACTGACATCTCTTTAAGACTCAAAATTACACAGTGAGATATTTTTACATTTTAGAGTGAATCAAAGTTTTCAGAACCTTACCCGTTGTGTGGTGGGCCACCGCCTTGGCCAGCATGGTCTTGCCACAGCCAGGGGGGCCATACATAAGCACTCCACGTGGTGGGTCAATACCAATCTGCTTGTACAGTTCAAAATGGGTCAAGGGCAGTTCGACGGCTTCTCGGATCTCTTGCTTCTGCATGTCCATCCCACCAATATCTGAATACTGAACATCCGGCTTCTCATCTGAACCACACAAAACAGGTGACATCAGCTCCTCAAGACTTCACAGGAACCTACTGCCTCCACTTCAGGATACATTCTGTACATGGAGAGGAGCCATTCCTCCAAAGATACAGGTAACCACCTTCGAGGGTATTCATTACAATCCAGAAGACCATTATCAAAATATTCACCACCTGCAAAATCTCAAATCTGAACCATGTTCCTTTACAACACTGTAAGAGAGAGGGGGGAAGCTCTAAAGTCAGAATAGGTGGCATCCTCGTCAAGATTTGAGCCATTTGCCTCCTGAACACAAATCAGAAACATCAGCATATGAACTAACTGGGTTGGTGCCATGTTTGCTGAACTAACAAGAACCTGACAATTGAATAAAAATTTACTTGGATATTATCCATCGTCTAGTAATAAAACGTAAAACGACGTTTCGGAGATGGGGCTCTATCTCCGTCTTCAGGTTCCTACTCAGTTGGGCCCACTAGATAGAGCTAATCCCTATCTCCGGACAAATTAAAAAGTGAAAGTCCCAGAATAAAAAGGCATTACCACACCATCCATCCGTGGGACGTAAAAGAATAAAATAGTAGAAACAAAATTCATTAAACACGAAAAAGCCAAATAAAACAAAGACTCACAAAAGGTGGGAATAAATACACATGAATATTAACTTGAAACTCGATGCCCACCTTGGATTTACGTTTTTTACGTTTTATTACTAGACGATGGATAATATCCAAGTAAATTTTTATTCAACTGACTCTTCACCATCGTCAAGATGTTTTAGATTTGATATTACAAGAACCTGGTTTCTGTTTTCAATAACAGTTTGTTAAATACATTATTTATGTAGTTTAAAAATAATTATAAATCTTGGACTGTGAAGGTTGTGAGCATAAGACTTTACAGTATTATCTCGGCAGTTTCCTAAATAAATTCAGGAAAGCAATGTACATTATCAGTCACAATTACCAGAAGATATGAATTCAGGGCATCAAAAAATAAAAAACAAGAATGCTAACCACTATTCTCCGAAGTTCAGCTAGAGGAACATTTAAGAAACACAGTTCACCCACATAACTTGCACTCACCGGCTTGCAACATGGATATTGACGAGTCGGCTTCAGGCGGTAGCACGTCGACGAGAGCGTTACTGTGCTTGTGCAGAGCCACGCTGGCTGAAGGCTTCAGCAGCTCCCGGTCTATAGTGGACAATATCCGCACGTAATAGTTTGAACCTGCAACGTACATAACATCAAATGTAAGAGCATTTATCACTGACAAAGAAACTCAGCTCTGGTGAGCAAAGTTCAAAAGCTGTCACCTTTGGTCGTCTCTGCCAGGCTCCACACAGATTTATAAAAAAAAATTTCATGTCATCACACTTGTACTTCGGAGATTTTGAAGAAACATAATTCTTGGAGGTATTCACATGATTACGGAATAGCTGCATACACACGCACAATACGTAAATGTAAATCTATCCTGGTATACACCATGTAGGCAATTCAGGGGAGAGGCGTTACAGCTCCTACTCGTTCTTAACCTCAGCACTAGATAGGGGTGAGCAGTCAGTGTCACGCCCTGATTGTGCTTTACCCTCGGGAAAGGACCCCGGTACCCACTGGACAGGAGGCTGGGTGTGCCCCAGAGCTGGTCTGGATGCTGAGGCTATAGGAAAAATCCTCTGCCTGTCGGGGATCGATCCCCAGTCGTTACTTTTGTAGTGAGTCGCTATACCGACTGCGCTACTCTGGCTCCTCCACAACTTTGAATGTAATTAGTAAATAGCTTATGATAATTTAGTGTCATATGTAACAGGTAAAAATCTTACATGCGATATTGCCTGTATTTTCATCAAATGAGGTATGTAAGATCTGTACTAGAATTTACGGTAAACTTGATTTTCAGTCACAGAATTCCATGAGATTTGTCAACAATGACAAAAATTCCATTCTTACATTTCTCAACACCGAAACCACAAATGTAATAAAATCGGGTGATTAACATACACAAAAAAGTTCACGTTAAAATAGAATTCTGAGCCACGTCATTAATTTGCATTGCCAAAAACACACAACTGTTGCGGAAAAAGCCCACCTGTAATACACCACACACTTATCCAAGCATGTTATATAAAATTGTACATAATGCTCGTTTCATGAACGCATTCCTTCAAACTGTCTAATTCTCACTACGTATTTTTCACATAAATTAAACGTGATTCAGCTATTCAGCACAGATGTATGTTTTCTCTGAACAAAACAATAAAATATGTAAATAACTGTTGTTGTTTATCTAAAAAAGGGCACTTATTATTTTATTTACTATATTAATGTTTTAAATGTACTTGAATATTATCAATCGACCTAAAAGAATCTTAACCTTTATCATACGAGAACACTGAAGCTGTGATACATTGCGAATAAAGGTTTAATTAAATCTCTGGTAACCCAACAACTCTGCTTTTTTTCAATTTATTAATTGTACATAATGTACAACATAATTTCAGAGATGTCTAATTCTTCAGACAAATGGTGTTTGTCCCATGTGCTTCAGCAACAATTAATTCTTACCTCTTTATTTATGTATCTCATATGATTCTCAACGTCAACAGCGACTATTTCCTTAAATAGCGGTAAAACCAGCTGAGCTTTGTAATGGTGAAGAGTTGTGTTTTCTTTGTGGTACAGACTGAATTATTAAATATTGTTTAGACGAGCTTCTGCTTCAAGTGTTTAACAGTCAGTTACTGCTGTCTGCCAACTTTTGTTCTTTCTGTCTATTTAGAACATAATGAGACTCGCAGAATTTTCCAAAAGCTCGTCATTATCAATCAACACACAAAGACACAAAACATAAAACAATAAAAAAAAATCATGTGAGAAAACAAGAATTGTTTCATGAAACATTCTGGCTCCATCATCAGTAACACTTTCTGCAAACTGCACAAATCAAAATCAAATCAATGCCAGCGGCAAATGGCAACTTTAGTAAGAAGCTGGATTCACTGTACGTGAAATGCTGGAAAAGGAATGGGTAGGGGTAATGGCCTGTCATAAAGAACACGGCATCATCAGAAATAATAAGTAACCACATCTAAAGATTTCCGTCTTCTGGGTTGTTGCGCTGTGTGCCCTGATGACGGAGGCAGTATGACCTCCGAAACGTTGGTTAACATCGACCAGACTACACAGCGCAATAACCCAGAAGACGGATATCTTCATACTCTGATGACGGAGGCAGTATGACCTCCGAAACGTTGGTTAACATCGACCAGACTACACAGCGCAATAACCCAGAAGACGGATATCTTCATACTCTGATGACGGAGGCAGTATGACCTCCGAAACGTTGGTTAACATCGACCAGACTACACAGCGCAATAACCCAGAAGACGGATATCTTCATACTCTGATGACGGAGGCAGTATGACCTCCGAAACGTTGGTTAACATCGACCAGACTACACAGCGCAATAACCCAGAAGACGGATATCTTCATACTCTGATGACGGAGGCAGTATGACCTCCGAAACGTTGGTTAACATCGACCAGACTACACAGCGCAATAACCCAGAAGACGGATATCTTCATACTCTGATGACGGAGGCAGTATGACCTCCGAAACGTTGGTTAACATCGACCAGACTACACAGCGCAATAACCCAGAAGACGGATATCTTCATACTCTGATGACGGAGGCAGTATGACCTCCGAAACGTTGGTTAACATCGACCAGACTACACAGCGCAATAACCCAGAAGACGGATATCTTCATACTCTGATGACGGAGGCAGTATGACCTCCGAAACGTTGGTTAACATCGACCAGACTACACAGCGCAATAACCCAGAAGACGGATATCTTCATACTCTGATGACGGAGGCAGTATGACCTCCGAAACGTTGGTTAACATCGACCAGACTACACAGCGCAACAACCCAGAAGCCGGAAATCTTCATACTCACCGCTGTGAGAACCTCAAGTCTTACAACCACATCTAAAGTTAACTCACTGCTAGCTATCATGTTCTAGAACAGCGTTTCTCAACCCATGGTACGCGTACCACTGGTGGTACGCGAAGTAAGTAAGAAAATCAAAAGATAATATTAACATAAATAATTTTCCCTGAACGCATTTGGTTAGTGGTACATTTAATGTGTTAAATTAGAATTAGTGGTACGCCAGTGAGAAGGGTTGAGAACCTGTTCTACAAAAAAGGACTGGCAACATTTTCATTACTGTGGGCCACAATGGCCATTCATATCTTTGGTAAAGGCTGCGGAAATAATTAATAATGTCAAGGACAGCTCGCATATTTCTCCAAACAGACGAGTTTGTTGTAAAAACAACGGTTGTTGGCTTTCGAACAGTTTTGGTTTCAAGTCACTATTAATTTTACAAACTTCAATTATTTGGTTATTTTTCATATTGTTTTTTTTATTTGGTACGAACAAAAGAACAGTGCACCTCAGGATCAGAACGTAATTCTAACTTTATAGGCCTATATCAAAAACATCTTTGTTTCATTCAAACATTTCCTGTTGTGACCGTCTGCTCTTAAACTTAAATAGTGTACGTCCCTTAATGGCAGAAAATGTTTGCCTTTCTTGCACTGGCTAATTTGCAAATCACGCGACAGACCACATGCAGGTTGCCGACCTGTTCTAGAAGGGGGGCAGAAAAATCATTCGACCCAGCTGAAGGTGCACTCATTTCCGACATACCTGTTGTGCTGCCTACAATGCCAGTATTCTGGTCGACAGCTTCCAGGAACTGCCCTATGACGAGAGGAACGCTCTGGATGCGCTTCACCTCCTCCTGTGCGTGGAGGTACTCCTTCTTCAGGTTACGCTGCTCATCCTTGATGTACTCCTCCTGAACTGCAAGGAACTCAAGCTGCCGCTGCAATTTCTGTTAACACATATCGGCTGCCTCATTCTGGATCAAGAAACTTACGCAGTCTTCCAAATAAACAGTTTGTAATTAATGTACATTATTTTCCACCGTATGCAAGAGTTCAATAAGTACTTGTGACGTAGGCAGCCCAGTAAGTGATGCGTGTACAGTACAACAACATACACGCAAAACTTTAGAAATCAAAATAACACCCAATAATAGTTGGGCTTGGAGATGAAGAAGAAACTAGTGAAGTGTTACGTATGGAGTGTCGCGCTGTATGGAGCAGAGACTTGGACACTCGGGAAGAAGGAACAGAAATACTTGGAGAGTTTTGAAATGTGGTGTTGGAGAAGATCAGGTGGACGGATCGAGTGACCAACGATGAAGTATTGAGGAGAGTCAACGAGCAAAGAAGCATTCTGCAGGCGATTACACGAAGGAAAGCTAACTGGCTGGGACATATTATGAGAAGGAATGGATTAATGAGTGATATCACCGAAGGCCAGGTTGAAGGAAAGAGAGGACTAGGAAGAAGATTGATACAGCTAACCGACGACCTTAAACAAGGAAAGAAGATGACGTTCCAGGAATTAAAGCGAGAAGCCGAGAATAGGGACAACTGGAGAGCTCTTTTTGGGCAGAGCAATGGACCTGTCGTAAGACAGAACACTTAATAATAATAATAATAGAAAACAAAAGACACCAAAACCACTTTACTCCAGATCAGTTTTCTACATTCAGGCAAGAAGCAAACACAGAATCAAGAAATAAATCGCTGCAAACGCAGACTGGCTCTGGGGTCCACCCAGCCTCCTATCCAATGGGAACACGGGTTCTTTCTTGGAGGTAAAGCATGGCCGGAGCTTCATGCCAACTACTACTCGCCAATGCTGAGGCTGAGAATGAGTTGGAGCTAAACCTTTTCTTCCCCCAAGTGCCTACATGGTGTACAGTGGGACAGCTTTGATTTCTTTTACTTACTTTCATGTAAACTGTTTAAAGTTATTGTAAGATGATAAAATAATTGTCACTAATATACTAATACTGTGCTTAGAACAATAAGAAGCAATATATCACCTGCAACCTGCAGAGTTGTTTCAATATGCAGATATTTTTAAAACTTCTTAAATGAATAAATGAAACTTCTTCAGTTGTTTTATCTCGATAACCTATACATCGATTAACACAATTTTTGTTGGTAGTACAAAAACTCACGACATTTTTGTCAAAATTTAATGTGAGTTTATTGGCTTTAATCCATCTGTTCAAGCTAGCAATAACATCGTTCACGCAAATTTGGAAACAGTCACAATTTCTGGATATAAAATAATAGTATCTGTCATCCACAAAAAGCATTGGTTTAGACTGGACACAAAGTTAGGAATTTGAGAAATGGTAAACTGATCCACCAACTCAGCCCAGCCCACATGGCGTCAAATAGCCAGGAGATGATTTCTCTACATGAGAAGCTGGAGTTCAATGCACAGTTAACTGTTGATAAAACGGAGCATTCTAACGCAGCACATTGGACAAAATGAAATGTACAATAACTGAAGGTCAGATAATTGGGACTCTACTGTATATTATATATTGTAACCATCACCACAACTAATTGTCAGCTGACGCAAACATCACAGTGTGATTTTCTATTCCAGCTTTCATCACAAATATGTAACGTAAATAGTTTCACTTTGAGTAGTTTTAACGATGTTAAAAGGTTGGTGCACTACATCACTTTTATGATGAAGTCTCACCAGATGATAGGGTGATGTCAAAACATGTTACCAATAAATTAGTGTCAACTGACAATTAGATGTGTTGATGGTTACAGAAAATAATATATTAACAAATACAACCATAATACTGTGTTTTAAGATAGTATTCAGATACTTTGGTTGGGCTTTGTAAACTGTTTAAAATGCAGCAGAAAAACACTCAAGACAAGTTAATGGTTACACAGTGCACATTAGTGGCATAAGTTCATGAGAAGTTCAAGTAAATCGATACTGAAGGCACATTTCCCTGCCAAGTCACACAGTAAAGTTATCACTTCACAGTACAAAGCATGTGTATAAAATTTAACTCCATGGTACAAGTGCCTTTCTGAGAAGCTTATGGATGCTTAATTGCCAAAAGCAGGGATATTCTTATCAGTGACACATTACAGGCCTACCTTGTATTTTGTATAAAGATCTTCTACGTCTAACTCTTCACCTGCACCAATTATAGGCCCTGAAATCGGCTTGGAATCCTGACTATTCTCCTCCTGTAAAGCAAGTTCAAAGTTGATTTTGGTTATGTGTCAAGACCAATGAATGTGATCATTACACTAAATAATGTATTCGTTTATGGTGCTACGTCTCATTAAAATAATACTCTTTCTTAATATTCGTCCGAATACCTTATCAGGTAATATAATTCCTATTTCTTCCATTTTACTTTACTTTGTATGAAACTTCAACACTAAACCGTCCACAATCAGCTAGTCATTCGTTGATATGTGACCAACCCAACGTACGTGGTTCTCCTGAGTACGTGTTCTACTGTTGGTAGCAGTGATGTCAGAGATTATAAGACTCACATACACAGATTCAGTCAGGGAAATAAGAAGTTTACTATAAGCCGTGGATGGAAAAGTACATATAAATGACCAAGGGTGTAGTATGGAATCACAGAAATGGTATCTTCCGTTCACATGTTCATAGCCTTCAGCGCAAACGTTTATTGATTTATTGAGCCGCGGTGAGTAAAAGTTACTTCGAAATCAACCCCTTTTATATACGACCATTTGGCTCAAGGAAGATAAGAAATTAACGCATTACAGAAATCTCATGTTCGTTATAAAATAATACATGATTTTAAATAAATAGTAAATGAACATCAAAACCCGTGATAAAGGAACATTTGCCTTGAGCTTCATCGATGAAGATAGAGGTAACACAGCTCCACTCATCGAGCTTCATCGATGAAGATAGAGGTAACATAGCTTCACTCATCATTGTCCTCAGCACGAGGTGGAGATCACTTAGTGCCTTCAGGCTTAGGCCGTCTTATACCTGCTCCAACAGAATATTGACCACAGTCAGCATCAATACTCAGCTATCCCGATTCCGGGTATGAAAGAAAGATTGTTACTGCCACACTCACAAAGCCCAGAGTCAAGAGATGAAGCGTCTACCTTTGAACTCGAAGAAGAACCTTCTTCAGGGCTACTTTCTTCAGTTGAATTCATACGGGACTGAACATAGGTCTCCGTAATTAGAAGCCAGCGCGAATATGTCTGAACCTGAACACAGCCAACCAACGTATTAACAGTTCTACTGATTTATTTATAAAAAACAATAGCAGATAATAATACTTAATGCCATCTGGGAAAACACCTGAACAGCAAATTTCGCCATCATCATCATCGTCATTGGCTCGACAACCCTGTGTTCGCTAAGAAATGTAAAGTCATTACCTTGACAATCCGTAGTTTCAAGGTAGAAGCAATTCAGATTCGCAAACATACATCTCTTAAGCATAATTAACTTTTTATGTTTCATGCATATTTTACCTTCTCCCTTTATTCATTCCTCGTGTGAAAATGACTATTGAAAGCAGGAGGGTCACATAGTCACTACTGGGTTTAACCTTTTGAGGGTCAGATGTCAGACTGAGTCCGCCACGTATTTTACGAATTTTATACGTGATCTGGAGTCAAACTGAGGCTAGCTTATCATTCAAGCCTTCTTCTTTGAACTGTTTTTATTTAAAAAATTCAGAAAATCAACTACGATCGCCTTCAAAATAGTTCCCTTCTGAGTTGACACACTGCTGCATACAATGCTGCCAACGTTCAAAAGCAATTTTGCTTTCACATCTACCGACAAAGAATGTGTTCCTTTGAGCACAGACTTTATCTTTGGGAAGAGGGAGACGTCGCAGCGAGCGATGTCTGGCGGATAGGGTGTAATACTGCTGATTTACCGTCTGGTCACTGGATACCCGCTCTGCTATCACAATACCCTTGATATCGAAGAAAATAATCAACATTGCCTTGAACTTCGAACGACTCATGCGTGCTTTTTTTGGTCTTGGAGATGATGTTGTCTTCCACTGTATTGATTGTCGCTTGGTTTTCGGATCATAATTGAAAAGTTTCAGTCGCGATTTCTTCAGTTTAACAAGAAACTTGATGTTAACTCCTTGTTCACGTTTGCAGTCAGACATTTTCCGGCCGAGGGTAAAAACACGTCTGTACAAAAATACTCGTCCACTGCTACTGAGTGAAGCAAACGAGTTGAAACTTGCGTCACTGGTAGAGGCCAGATCAGGGTAAAATCTCTTCTATTGTCTCAAATCTCCTTCCCTTTAGCTGAATTTTCATCTTTGGGAAGAGGAAGAAGTCACACGGCGAATAAGGAGGGGGCGGGATGACGGCCATTGTGTTTGAGGCCAAAAACTGCCGAACTTTGAGGGCGGTGTGCGCTGGCGCGTTGTCTTGATGCGTCGCATGTGGAGTTCTTCCTTTAGAATCAGCTGACAGGTCCCAACAATGTCGCACAAGTCGTTGATGGTACGACGTCGATCTTCGTGAATGGCCTGCCGAATCTTCGTACCATTTTCGGGCGTTGTGCTCGAAGATGGTCGTCCAGAATGCTCGTCATCATCGACAGGGGTTCGGCCATTTTTAAAACGTGAATGCCACACAAAAGTTTGTGCACGACCCATTGCGGACTCCCCAAATGCTTGCTTTAGCATTTCATAGGTTTCCGTAGCCGTTTTGGCGAGTCTTTGGCAAGAGATTCAGGCAGAATCGCAGATGGTGCTTGACAGGCTGACAAAGAAAGATTTCCAGGGATGCTTCCAGGCTTGGCAGCGACGCTGGGATCGTTTTGTTCACTCCCAGGGGAACTACTTCGAGGGTGATGGATGAATTTAATACCTGAGATAAGTGTACGGGTTTTTATACGCGCAGTCTGGAAACTTTCCGATCGCACCTCGTAAGTGGTATTTAAATAGCCCAGGCAGTAGTAATATTTAAAAGGGACCGCATAGGGTTAACACATTAATGTGGGAAAATATTTACCGACCTCAAACTTTCGTGGGATTTCAGATTTATACAATTCGAATGCGCTGTCATATCCATCAGAAAATGTTCCCAGGATCCACCTGTCATAAATAAAATGTTTTTAAAAAATTAACCGTTTCAGGATTCCTTCAATACTGCACTGACTCATAGTAACTGGGCGATCCGCCTCAGAGTCAGAAATCCCTGAAATTGTATGGGACTGTATAAATTTTAGTGATGACACAACAATCTTTATTACATAAGAGGTTTCCACCTTTGAACAGACAGACTCTTGATGTGTGAAGTTCAATTTGTGCTTCGTTCAATATCTTCAACGATTAATAATGCAGATTTCGTAACGAAGTTGCCAAAATATGTCTATCAGTGCCATCTGAGCTAAATGTCCAGAAGACAAAGAAATTTGAGCACTTACAGTTGTTGCACCTGAAACAAAAGAAAATAAATAAACTCATTGAACCAAGACATTGAAATGAATTCTAACCAACAAAATTAAGAATTCAAACAACATTAATCTTATCGCACCTAAATTTCACACTAAATATTTTTTAAGATGGCTATGTTCTGGGCTGTTGAGCTGTGTAGTCTGGTAGAAGTTTATACACGTTTCAGAGGTCCCTGCTGCCTCCATCAAGAGCGATGATCAATAAGACAGAAAATAATTTACGCATGTAAACAAATATTCTAAATAGCAAAGTATTAAGAATTCAAAACGAAACCTGACTTTTTATGTTCTGAAAATCCTGATATCCAGTCAACATCTCAACAACATTTAAATGTTTAGTTCATACTTCAAACAAAATTCAACGCGTCTCCATTACAAACACAAATCGATTAATTCTGTTACGGAAAATAATCGATCTTTACTCTTATAATCACACTAAATCCATAAATACTCTCTGTTTTAAAAATTTACGTAAAATGGTTGTTAAAGCAGGTTTTATATGTAATTAACGTCGTGATTTGAAGTTTTAAAATAAAAACTGATTACAGGATCGTACTTTCAAAATACTGACTTGAGCTCTAGCAATGAAACAATGTTTTCAAACAATTTTCTACCGAGATCCTTGACTGACCACTAACAGAGTCTCCGAAATCTGTAGGTCAGTTTTTACCATCAACAATTAAAAACTAATATAGTAATGTTTGAATGCTACCACTGAGGTTCAAAGTAGCAACTTTCTTAGGGGCTGTGGACAAGCGGTTTATGTAACTGATTTTGATGTAATGTTGAAAACTCAAGAACATGTTGGTGGCATTATAAATGCAGTGAGATACGCTCGTCATCATGGACAGAGGTTCGGCCATTTTTAAAACATGAATGCCACATAAAAGTTTGTGAACTACCCATTGCGGACTCCCCAAATGCTTGCTTTAGCATTTCATAGGTTTCCGTAGCCGTTTTGGCGAGTCTTTGGCCAAATTTGATGCACACGCCATTCCGAAATCGCAGGAGGGTCGGTGTAATGCACTACCAAAACGCCCGTAACTAAGAAACAAATGCTAATTCGATGATGCCGGCTGGCACATTGATTCACTATGAATGTAGGCCGCACCCCCTAGCGGCAGAAGCTCGTACTACATCCAGTTCGCCCTCTATTGACACAGTCTTGAAACTTTCCGATCGCACCTCGTACATTTCCGATTGTGCGTATGTAATTGTGATACCAGCCTCAGGATGGGTATAAAAGGCCCCCACCAGATCAAATGATGCTGCAGTGACTACGAAGAACGAAGAGTCTGTTTGTCCACAGGTAAGCGCGTCATATAACACGCAACACGACTTGGCAAGTGTTTCATTTTACGTTATTTAATGACGGTCTTTAAGCTGGAGTAAATGTAAAAACGGAATTTGATGATAAACTGAGACCCAAAGGATTTTTCATTCTCCTTCTAAATAATTAAAGTATTTTTACCTGTCGTTTTGTATCAGTGTAAAATTATGTCTTTTAAATTAAACAGTGGACATGAATTGAAGGTGTTTAAAAATAAAATAATTCAAAATTTGTTTTTATACAGTTTAATTCCATTTGAAAAGTTTGTTTTTTACCGTTCAATGCAACATTGAATAAGGCTAAGAACCTTTCGCAGTAAAAAACAGGATTGTTACGAAAAACATAACCTTAAAGTCTAGGAACCGGAAGGACTCTTTGGCACGACCATGACAATTTAAAAAGGATATGACATTTGGAATGTGGATCATTAGAAGTCTCTATAAGGTTGAGGCACTGAAATCAGTGAGTAGGGACTTAGAGAATTATAAGTTAGATTTAATGACAGTGCAGGAAGTACGATGGGAGGGGGAGGACGCGATCCCATTGGACAATTTAACATTTTTCCTATGGAAAGGGGAATGACAATCATCAGTTAGGGACAGGTTTTTTTTTGTTCATAGCAGAATTAGGGCAGCAGTTAAGAGAGTGGAATTTGTTAGTGACCGGTTGTCTTATGTAATTTTGGAAGGACGTTGGTGCGATATTATTGTCTTTAATGTCTAAGTGTGGTAATTGCAGAGGAATATCTCTATTTTCAACCTCATAAAAAATTCTATTAAACATTCTTTTGGCAAGATTAACTCCACATGTTAATTAAATTATTGGGGATCGTCAGTGTGGGTTCAGACGAAACAGATCAACGATTGATCAGATCTTTTGCATTCGTCTGATACTAGATAAAAAATGGGACGTCAGTGGGACCGTACATTAATTATTTATAGATTTAAAAAAAAAACCTATGACTCTGTGAAGAGAGAAGTGTTATATAATATTCTTATTGAATTTGGTATACCAAAGAAGCTAGTGGGTCTAATAAAAATGTGCTTAAATGAAACCTGTAGCAAAATTCTTTTACGTAAATATTTATCTGAATATTTTCCATCAAGAACGGTCTGAAACAAGACGTATTTGTTACTTGGCAAACTTCGCCGAAAAGAAAAGATGGCGTACGGCGAATAAATAAAATAGATGAGGTGGTAAATTTATTCATAGCTGGTGAATTTATCGACTCTTTCGATAGCTCAGGCTGTAAACAGTCGAATTACCGGATGAATACTTAATAAATCGGCAAGGATATAGTAGGAAGGAGTCGTCACCTATTTCAAAATACTCCCATAATTTATTTAGAGGGACTGAAAAAACTACAAATAATTTCCGTCAGAAAAGCCCTACTGGGATGAGATTTGAAATCGGGACCTTACGAATAAGAAGCTACAACGCTATTCACTCATAGACGATGCTCGAAGGATAGAAGAATCATATAGCATGAATTTGAAGTAAAAAAATTATCGCTCTGAAGAAGGAGGCAGCAAGGACATCTGAAACGTATTTAGCCATCTTCAGACTCACCGCCGCGTAAACCTCAAATCATACAAGAAAACGGACACTTGGGAGATCTAAGCGCAGATGGGATGATAATATTAAAATGGACAGTTTAGGGCACGGCGGTTGGATCTTCAACAAGGATTCTTGTTAGTGGAGTGAGGTATAATTTTGAAACGAGAGTAGTTCGTCTGGACGTAACAGAACAAATTATTTGTTTAAATCTTGTCAGTCTAATCACAATAAAATTCCTATTAAATATTAAAATATTACCATAATTAACATTTAAATATTTAAAATATATTAAATGATGTTCTCTATCATCTCAAGAACAAATTAATTTTTCCATCAACATTCTGGGCCATAAGTAACAAAATGACGCTGCATCTGGTACAAAAGTTCAAAGAGACACAAGACTTATCACGATTTTTTTCAAACGAAGCGGCAGTGGCCTATTTCAGCACACGACCTCGATGTTTGCTTGGAGGTGCTGAGGAAGATCACGACCGAATTGAGGTGTGTGGTGAGTGGACTCGGTCTTTCGCCTTCCACTACAGTTGGGTGGTATAGTTCAAGGTGAACACGACACTTCAAGCCACTGAAGCTCGCCTCTTAACCTTTGGATGGACTGAGTAACGCTTTTTGCAGACATGCAGGGGAAACTACAATGGCCGCTCCTTTATTTTGTAAATGAATAAAGAACTTGTTAATGTGACAACTGAAGAAAATATTCCATCCATGTTAGTAAGAGTGAAGTGTTCATTCTGAGCATGATGATAATTATGGTGATAATAATAATAATAATAATGATTAAGGAGGAAATGGAGAATATCTTGAAATACAAGGACCTTCTCATTGAAATACAGAGAATTTTGAAAGTGAAATCAAAAGTAATCCCAATAATTATAGGAGCAACTGGAACCGTCTCGAAGTCACTTAAAAAATATTTGGCCAAGATCCCGGGCGAACACGACCTCAGGGAACTTCAGAAAACCGCCATTTTAGGATCTTCATACATCATTCGAAAGACGCTGTCGTAAAATATGTAATCATCTCTAAAAATAAAACTATATAATACATGTAACACGTATTAAAAACAAAATGTATTTCAGAAATATCTGCTGTACTATGTTCCTCAGGGGCAAGGTTTTTCTCGGGTACATAGAAGTAAATATCATGTAAAGTGGTGAACAGATGGAATATAATTATAATAATAATAATAAACATTTACTAAGTAGAAGACAGAATATGTTACAAGAAGAGACACTTAGTGATTTGTACGAGGTGCGATCGGAAAGTTTCCAGACTGTTACGTTTTGCTCTGACGTAAGCAAAGAGATCATATCTGAAGCTACTAGGCTGTCACAGTCAGGTTAACAACCAGCAGATTCTGACTAACAGCAACGATGGCAATTTTCCTTTTATTCTAAACGTACACAACTATTTTATTGTTCATACTGTTGGCTATCCCTAGCTCTTACGTCAGTGCAGATTTTGTAAAAAAATTATTACGTGGATTAGTAGTGGACAAATTGGCAGTGTGACAAGTTTTCACGGCGTCCAACGAATTTCATGATGGACGATGGGTCCGTGAGTGTCCACAGTTTCACAGAACATAACCTCACATTGTCATAAGAACTTAAATTAAATTCTCCTGCTACAACACTAAACCGATCACGAGAAAATTAACAAACCACATTTCCTTAATGTTTATTTTACTACTGCGCTGCATTATTCTTCTCAGTCCTCCAAATTACCGCTTTCAAACTACTAACGAGACTGAAAACATGGCCGCAATGTTACTGGAGACTGCTCCGAATTCCTAAATCATAATTTCTTATGTTCTATTATATCAACGTGACGAACGCTCAAATTTGTGAGGTTAGATAATAATGACGTAATTACCCATGATCCTGTATGAATAAGTGGTGACGTCATTACATACTACCAACGTGGCCGTAGAAATATTGTTGCCCTTTCGTCTATATTTTTGTATTTGGTATTTCCTCGGCTGTCCTGATGACGTAATCGTCTTTGATGTCACATTTATTTATCTTATGTCTATATTACAACACATTAAATACAAGTATTCGATGGACATTACAAATATAATATACTAGAATACAGTACTATAATTTTAGGTTAAGATTGGCAGTCCATTCAACTGCTGGTGGAGAGGCCCTCAGGTGGCAACCCTGTACAATATGTTTGATGGTCTGTTGACTCGCACCACAGTCACAGTTGGCTGTTTGAATTTTTCCCCACTTATTAAGGGCATCTGCGCATGCGCTGTGGCTGGTGAGGATCCTGTTGAAGGTTTTCCATGTTTGTCGAGGAAGGTCTTGTCCCGTTGGTAATTTCGAGATTAAGATGACAGATGTCATGAGCTGGGAGGTTAGGATTTTCTCACGTAACAAGGTTTCTTGTCTACGTATTGCTGGTGGTAGAATTCTGCTCAGTATAGTTAGCCAGTGGGTGAGACAGCCTGTTATAGTCCTCAATGTAATGTTGCCCATCCTATTATTAAGGTGAAAACATGTGGTTTCTGTTTTGGAAGGGCTAGGAGTCAATCACCACTTCTTGGGAGGATTGTCTCAGTATTTTCCAAAAGCTTGTGTTGGGTTGCCAGTGCCAGGTCGTCCGAATATCTGAATTTTGTCGGTACTGTGTGTGGCATGTCCGAAATGTACAGGTTAAACAGTTTTATGTCACACACGCACAGAGACGGATATTTATGAGATTAGGTTTGGACGTTATACGACTGTAACCATAACTAAGATTTTTTATATTTAATTCATTTACTGATACCAAGAGATTGTCCTCCCGAATACGAAGCAAGAAAGTTAACCACTCGACCACGATGTTCGACTCGGAACTCGTAACTGTCCTCTTCGTATCAATATCGATCATTCTCGACTTCTTCTCCTGCTCTCAAAAAGTGTATTTAAGCTACTTCTGAATTCCTCTTTTTTATTATTTATTTATTATTTTGGTCCACACAACAATAGTGACAAAACAAGGACTTCACAGAATTTGTAAAGTGTTTCTTTGTTTTCGTTCTATTGTCCAACACCAAAGTCGACATAAGATAAAATTACAATTAAAAAAGTAAAGAATACATTTTGTCTACTTGCATTTCGTTAAATGTCATTCTCCCAAATATTTCAACTTTCTGGGAGACAGAAGAATGGATGTCGTGGGAGCCACTTCACCACGTAAAAAGGAAAAAATGGTGACTTGCTCCTTTAATTAACTGTCCACAGGAAGCAAGCTACTGTAACTGTGTCATGGCTGGCCTGCCAGTGCTTCCATCTACCGTATTACTTCTAACTTTGCACCTCGCGTCTGTGCAGAATCAGACGGTGGATTATAACCCTGACGCACACCTGTCAACGGTGAGTACGAAACTTCGATAATGGAGAGGAAAGTAAGCACGTGCCAATGCTAGACACAACCTCGCAGCGAAACTGCTTACAACAAAGAAATTTCAACAAACGATGTTCAGGCAACATTCTGATGTTCTTAAAACAACAAAGCCATACCTCGTAAAAATAATATTTAAAGATTCAGTTCTTTACCTCAAATAAAGCACAACACTTCACCATTACATAGATCAGTTGGTTAACGCTCTTTAATAATTGCTATTTACAGTCAGAGTAATTCGAAATCCATAAATATAAAAGAGAGAGTTTGATTTTTGAAGGAAATTGGGTACATAATTACCATGCAGTTAAAGGGTCAATGCCTTAAATTCCAAAGGGGATGATGGGTTACACTTCCACATCAGAACTGTTCGATATACTAGGTCGTCTCAGTGTCCTGTTAGTACGAATGCTCTAGCCAAAATGTGTCCTAGCCCACAGTCGCACTCATTTCTCTGTCGATCCGCGTGTTTTAGCCACAGCTGGTAAGCAAGTACGGCTATCCTGTGGAGAGTCACACAGTGCTGACCTCAGACGGCTACTTCCTCACTCTCCATCGCATCCCTCATGGCCGCCATAACGCGACGGTGTACAGTGGCGCCGTCATTGTACAGCACGGCGTTCTGAGCAGCTCGGCGGACTGGGTAATCCTCGGCCCAGACAAAGCTCTCGGTATGCGGACGATCTGTCGTGATTTCGACACTTTTTACTGCCATTTTGTGTAGGATGCTGGGGTTGAAATCGTACTTCTGGAAAATCTGGTCATTGTGTTTGATTAAAGTTGTTTTTCCAAAGGTGAAGATTTCGATGTTTTCGTCAAAAGTCAAAACAAGTCATGTTTGTCTTACGATGTATTAAGTGCAACTGCATTTTGGCTTATGCACACTCATTTACATTATCAGAACTGGAAATATGTGATGGCAATTATTTTCCTTAAAACAGACAGAAATTGCATATGAAATTTATGTAACTGGCTGAGGTATTTATTTCATTAATTTATATTGGGACAGTTATTTACGTATAAACAGGACATGAAGTTACAAGTAACGTCAGTGGTGGTTTCTCCCATAAGCCATCCAAAATATTAACCCAAATATCATAGTCTATGCACATCGACATAATATATACTCTTATATGTGCAAGAATATTAGATTCTGATGGGCACGTGTCTTAGTAAAACTTTGCTATAACTCAAAATACGAAGAAGTTTCAGCCCTGACGTCAAGGTATGTCGCCCATGAAGAAGTGGTCCGGTTGAAGAGGTAGTGTGAAAGCGAGCATTTTTCGGTAGGACTATACCTCCATTTAGAGGCAAGTGTCTAAATAATGTGACGAACATTTATTTAACCAGAAAGGCAAATAAATATTCAAATCCCTTTAAAGGAGCTACCCCCCCCCCCTATTATTCATATTTAATAGAACCCATATTTATATTCTTGAATATGTTGTCATAAAATTTTGAAAGAAAAATTTACATTTGCTATATAATTAAAATTACTAACGATTTCTCGATGTAACGATTAGTTAACTGTCGCACTCGAATTTGGCGCGTTTGTTTAAAAAATTGTTTTAGGTTAGGTTCCTCACCAGAAAGAAAAGGCACCAATGGGTTACTTGTTGGCAAGAGCAGGTCATGACGTGTAAAATGGACACTTGTTCTAGGTTACTTGTTGGCAAGAGCAGGTCATGACGTGTAAAATGCACACTTGTTCTAGGTTACTTGATGGCAAGAGCAGGTCATGACGTGTAAAATTTACACTGGTGCTGGGTTACTTGTTGGCAAGAGCGGGGTCATGACGACTAAAACTGACACTGGTTCTAGGTTATGTGCTGGCAGACGCGGGTTATGACGTCTGGTTGGGAAACGCAAGGGGCAACACTTACTCTAGAAGACACGTGAAGTTAACTACTGGAACAGAGCAATTTTGGGACTTCAGGTAAGCAGATCCACGAAGGGTAAAACTTGTCAGAAAATAAATATAAATAGAAATAAACAAACGTCTGCTACGTCATACAGAGAAATCGTTAGAGAATTAAGTCAACCATTTAAATATGAGTTAACGAACAGCTGGGTTAACTGAGCAAGCCACTAGAGTTTATCCCGAGTTTGTTAAGTTAAACCAACGTTTACGATAACATAGACACTCGGTCTACAACATCCATTTAAATATCTCTTTCATCTCATGTTGTCAGTTCCAAGATGTCTTGTCTCTTGTCTGAAACTACCTAACCGGCAGTGGCGGCTCGTGAGTCTGAGCAGTGATAGTGCTGTGTTAGGGGAAAAACCAGAATATTATTTCAACACATAACAATATAAATAACTAAAAAGTAAATTTACATCAGGAGAAAAGCCATACGTGATCGAGGATGTTGTAACTATTTGTAAGTCCAGAAGAAGGCGGCCATGAATTTTTACATTATTTCTCACTCAAAGACAATTTATAAAAAGTAATTTGCGGGGACTGCAGCTCCGATACGCGCTGTACCATTGAACTGCCCCTCACTCTACCGCCCGCCGCGCTCACTAAATTTCAACGGCTAACCGCACTGAAATCCTTGCAACCGGATGATAGCCCCGTCCTCCATCCCATTCCTCCTCGCCCGTGGACTTATTATCAGTTCAGTCGATTAGCAGATAATGACAACGTAAGGGGCAATATTAAAATAATGATACAGAGGAAACAAAGTGTTACAAATTATAAAAAACAAAAATTAATTTTTTTAATTTTTGAAAAATTATAAGGGGTGTTGGAGCTCTGCAGCTCTTATAGACGAGCTGTCCAGCATAAAATAACTCTTTTACCTTCGCTGATAATACCAATAGGGCATCAGGGACAACTGAGGCATCTTGCAAGAACACCGGGGTTCGATATCCGACAGGGATTTCTTGTTCGTCTAATTATCTGTCGGGGCCTTCCTATCCTATTGAATAAGCAGTGGGATTATTTCCTAAGGAGATCCAATTGATACAAGTGGCTCCTTCTGCGGAGTAAATCGGCCGGAGGCTGAAGTTACCACTCATCTCTATTGTATCTGTCTTATAATATTCGGAGTAACCTTGCTACTCCTCAAGTTTTCCGATACCTCGGACATCATGAAACGATGTATTGATCTTCGATATGAATCGATTACTATTGTCTCTGTGTGAGTTGAAGTTACCACTCATCTCTATTGTATCTGTCTTATAATATTCGGAGTAACCTTGCTACTCCTCAAGTTTTTCGATACCTCGGACATCATGAAACGATGTATCGATCTTCGATATGAATCGATTACTATTGTCTCTGTGTGAGTTGCAGTTGGCACGAAATGGGAGTGTATGACTTGCCCGCGGTTGTGGACTACATCGTCAATACGACGGGTGAACAGCGGCTGTTCTACGTCGGCCATTCAATGGGAACGACAATGTTCTACGCTTTTCTGTCGGAACGACCTCAGTACAACGGAAAGATCCGGGCGATGTTCAGTCTCGCCCCCGTAGCGTTCTCATCGCACATGACGAACCCGTTGAGGGCATTCATCCTGACGAGAGGGCTCGAGGCGTTCTACGTAGGTCATCGGTGCACTAACAGTTATTAATAACTAAGTAATGAGTGTAATTCCTGCCTGTTAGTTGTTAATCAGGAGAAAAAGATTTGACCTTGAGAATGGGGAACTACGCGGAAGGTCAGTATTTTGCCCCCACAACGTCCGTGGACACTGAAAATGTCAAAGGTCTTGTCCTGAGTAACAGACAATTACTGGGACAACAAGGTTGAGCCATAGTTCGGGTGCTTTCTCGTTGGACAAGGTTGAATTCTCTTCCAGGACAGTCCATGTGGGTTTTGTTATGGGTTTTTCTCTTTGAAGGTACTATACAGTTGGCCAAATTTTTATACAATTTAATATTTTTATGATGAATTAGCAGTTAGGTTCAACAGAAACCCAGCTGAGAGTGATTAATGGATACTAAGATCGAATGTAATGGCTTCTGATGAGTGTCAGATGATAAAAAGTCACCAAATGAATAAGCTCATGAGTTGAAACATCTGAAGCCCCTGTCGGAAAACATGAAAGGCTCAAATACCTGTTGGCAAAGTCGTAATTGCAACTCTTTTAGATGATAAGGAGTCCATGTTTGAGAAATTGTCTTATTTCTGAGTTTCTACAGAAGGCACCAGTTCCATTCAGACCCCAAAGTTCAGAATTTTATGAGAAATAAATTTGGTTTTAGTGCCTGAATATGATGCATGTACTGGTTTTTTGGGGTTATGTTACTGGGCTAGAAAAAAATCAGCAGTAATTGCCACCAGAGGGATTCTACTGAACATCTGTGATCTATCAAGTGATGTTATCTGTGCCATACAGAGAACCATAAGGAATCTCGGAGTGATGAACGTCCTGTCAAATTCGGACCCTTTTGTCGAGATCGGCCGCCGTGCATGCAGGGACAAATCCTTCGCTAAAGCCGTCTGTGGAAACATCCTCCTCGTTTTAGGTGGCCTTGGCAGCAGCCAGATCAACGCAGTAAGCATTAACACAGCAGTGAGGGTAAAGCATGGAACCCACATAATTTCCGTCTTTGAATATAACCCAATACAAGAGCTGATAAATCCTAGGCGTATTTGAAATGACGTTGCAAAAATGCGTCTAACCTTTGGCACGTGTCTGGTTCCGTAAACTAAAGAAAGTGAGTGATCTAATATACGTAACTGCAGATTGAAACTGTGTGTGGAGCCACAGTACCGTATGCCTACGACGATAGGTAGCGCCACACTGATGCGTGTCGGTAAAAGTAAACTATGAAATAAAAGTAACAAGGATTGCGAAATTTAGCTACTTCGGACAACCACAGCAATGAATCTTCAGGCTTTCATTAGCAAAACATGTTTCTCCATCCTGTATAGAAGTCATACAGGTTGATTAAACGTTCGGGTACAATTATTAAAGAGGTTGGTGAGGATATAATCTGGAAAAAGAAAATGAAAACAAAAAGTTTTCAGATGCACCACCGTTTCCGAGTTAAGGTATTTTTATGTTGATTTTATTATTGTGGTTGTCGATTTTTGTAAAATGGGAACAATTCGTTTTAACACATGCGAACTGACTTCCTTGTTTAGAACGAAAAAAGAAGAAGAAGAAGCCAATTTTGCCTGTTGTAGCATTTTTCGATCGTCACTTCAGAGTACGTAATTTTGAGCACTTGGTCTGTTCGTATGGTGGGGACTTGTCTGTGTAGTGAATGTACTGTAAGTAATCGTAACAAATGTTCTGAGTTTCATTCCCTAATCTGAACATAAACCTCACACCGACGTCAAATTGAGCCCCTGAAGTAAACTACATGTTCATGTACGATGCCTCCAGCAAACCTAACCTCAATGGAAATTAAGTACATCGTAACGACCTGGTACATCCACAGCACAAACCTATCCTTCATGCATCACCAAAAACGAAAAAAAATTATGATATATATATTTAGGGGGGGGGGGGAGCAGATCGGGAAAACGTGGACGCCGGGCGACGGACCTCCACACCCAATCCACCTGTTCCGAAAATTGTCTCGTCTTGTGTTCCGGTCACAATGGACGCCTGGACACTGGGGCCGTGGGTTCCAATTCCGCTCAAGGCATTGATATTTGTCTGCGTCTTTCTGTCTCGTGCTGTCTTGTGTACAGGCAGAGGCCTTGCGAAGGGCTGATCACTCGTTCAGGGGGTCCTACCAAATATCTAAAGAGATACAGTAACCTCCAAAAAGATAGCAACCTCCAAAAAGATAGCCGGATGCTTCTCGTAGGAGTGAAAAGGGAATAAAAAATAGTATTGTGTAGTCTAACACATCATCCTCATCCAGTAAGCTGCGTCTTCCAGGGCTAGCTCGTGCATACGGCATGACAACGCCAATTTCTCGCTGGATTACGAGTCACCTCTTAAAGGATAGTTACATAATGATATTAGTCACCTCGATAACAAAAGGATATGACAAACAAATTCAACTCAAATGGGAAATCTACTTAACCTTCATCCTCAACATTTTACAGAATACACAATAAGGTTTTAACGTGTTCACTGGTAGGGTCATCATCACTTCCGGCACATAAAAATCCTTTAATGTGTAGAATCAAATAAGGACAGACTCTCTGCAAAGATTTATTTGAATAACGAAGCAGTGCTCGTAAGTTGTTCCGGAATGGCAACAACGTGAGTTGTCAACATTTATTGTAACCTAACCTAACTTTACACTTTTGAATAATTTCATCTTGAGTTGCATTCATGATTTTTTGTGTAATTTTTTTACAGAACTAGACATAAGAAATGTTTCATGTAAAAATATTTTCACTTTTTGGTTAAGGTTTAACAATTTTGTATGTTTTTTTGTGAATGGCACACCATTTTCATTTTATAATGAAATATGCATTCAGGGAATTTAAAATTTTGCAGTTAGCTCATAAAACTTCTACGTGCTTCGTTATGCACTGAATTCTAAAACTACAAACATTTAAAATTTGTGGTGACCTTGCTACTGATAATGTTAATAACAGTAGCTACTGGCTGGTTGTGAAAACTAGAGTGGGCCAAAGGTCATTAACAATTGGTGCAACCACTGACAAAGATTCTTGGCACTTCAAATCCTGCTAAATCACATAAGATTAACCCAAATACCATCCCTGAAACTCCTTCATAAGCAGAACTACTTAAGGTAACAAAATTTTCTGTTGCAGTCTGATATACCAACCATCCTAGGACACACTCCTGCAGGAACTTCCACCAAAACATTTCTTCACTTTGCACAACTGGTAAAATCTGGTAAGTGGATCTTAATTTTTAAAACGACGACTAAAACTCAGCTGTTATGGAATCAAAGAGGTTATCTTTCATGGTCTGCCTGTGGACCATAAACTGAGTCAGTTAAACCTAACATTTTAACAGTATCTCTGTTAGTAGATCGCAAAGATTCAATGCCACTAATACCAAAATCCACTGTCTGCCATAATTCTGAGACAGTTCCATCCAAAAAATATTTTGCTACGATCTGCCTTAATGTTCCCTAACCCCTAAACCAAGAGGTTTCTTCGCCATCGTAACCACATGTCCGGTCTACTGTATCCTGAACTTCCTATACAAACAATACTAGTTTACCCTCACATAATATTCCATATTGCCAACTTACTTCATCCTTCTCAGGCGCAAACATTTTCCTAACCACATTATTTTTAGGCATCTGTAATTTATTCAATTAAATGAAAATAAAAATCTCTACTTTGCAACAATTCAGATACATCAAGTCCTATTTAATTTAATGTACACATGAAGATGGCTGTCTTCTGGGCTGTACTGCCATTAAAGATAGGGTTATTAAGGTAAATATTATTACCTTAATAACCCTATCTTTAATTCCCTTCAAATGCTTAACCCCCACCCCCAACAACTCCCTTTCACTTACCCCCCCTACAAACAACCACGATCAATAGTGAACACAGTTCAGTTCAAATACGATAGTACTTCCAGACAGTCGGAACTCAACTACACCTCTCATCTCTGGTATGTTCATATTTACTTTTCAAATTATTATTTTGTTTTCTATTCTCTTTATTCTTATTCATTCATTAATATTTATTTATTCTTTGAATTATTTACATTACAGACTGATATAAAAAACATCAACAAAAATATTCACCAACCTAAAAGTTTATTTGAACACGACGCACATATATAGAACAACTTCAAATATATTAAAATGGAATCTGGAAGTGAACATCACTAATAAGTGATAAACAACTACAAAAAAGTTGCATATAAGAAATTATGATTAAGTTTTAAGTTTATATAATTTTAATTTTTACACACCTGAAGATGGTTCATCTAAGAACTGAAACATGTAGTGAGAAAGTGATGTTCCAAATGTAAATGGAATGTTTCGATAAGGAGCATCACATGGTATTTTAATTATCTTAATTCTAAATTTTAAATTGTGATTAGACGGACAAGATTAATTAATTAAATATATATTTTCACAATATGACGCAACTCTATCGTCTTGATGTTAGAAGCAGTAAGTACCTCTGAAATGTTCCATCTTCACAATCACCACGACAACAACTTCAAATCCTACCTAATGTATGCAAAGTTTTAAAAATTAATTTTTGATGTTTAATTAATATTTACTTCCATGTATGTTACCAACATTCAGTATTTATTTTCATTACAAATACTAGATCCACAATAATAATTACCAAGAACCATAGCAAATTGCTTTAACACCAACTTTATACTATAAAGTCAAAATAAATTTGGGTGTATTGTAAGATTTGACATTTTCATGGCAGTGAGTCCGAAGATGGCTGCCTTCTGGGTTGTGTTCTACCAGACTACACTGCGCAACAACCCAGAAGATAGTGATCTTCAATTATTGTATTATCCACATTACGATGAAGTGTAAATTACTCGTCTTCCGTGGCCATGTGCTCCGCAGGGAGATTCTGTCAATTCGACTATGGGCCTGATGGGAACAGCCGTCTTTATGGAGATGTGAAGCCCCCGGCCTACAAACTGGACAACTTGAAGGCACCGATCTCTCTGCACTACAGTGACCACGACTCACTCGCATCTCATACAGTAAGTAAACCGAGAGTTGCAAACTACTTTCAAAATGTAAACACCCTCTTAAAGAAATGAGATGGGCGAGGCATGTAGCACACATGGATGGGACAAGAGGTGTACACCGGGTATTGGTCAGGAAGCCTGAGGGGAGGAGGCCGCTGGGGAGACCTAGACGTAGATGGGAGGATAATCTCAGGAGTGATCTATGGGAGATAGGAGTTGAAGGAGACTGGATTTTGTTGGCCCAGGACAGGGTCCGGTGGAGGGCTTTGGTTAATTCGGGGATGAACCTTCGGGTTTCCTAAGCCATCCGGTTAGTTAGATAGACAGAGCACCCTATTCTTTGTTTTCCTCCAGTTGCTGTTTCACGCGAATTTTAGGTTCTTTAATTACTCTGTTTGCACTGCACAGAATGGAATAGAAATACAACAAAAACTGGTTGAAGGACTTGTCACGGCATATTCAAAATACCATCTCCACATTCTCCTGGAGAGACTGAGGAAAAACCAGAATAAACTCGGTTATGATGCTTGTAACACGGCAAGATTTGAACTGGCAATAAGAATTAGTTACACGAACCTGCTCAGGAAATTATCGCTTTATATCTTTACTTGGCTTCATACGCATTTACTCGGACGTGTGCCTAGTAGGATGGAAATCTACAAAATAAACCAGGTAGAATCTTACTTGGCTTCATACGCATTTACTCGGATGTGTGCCTAGTAGGATGGAAATCTACGAAATAAACCAGGTAGAATCAAGGTAGCTTTTGTATGATTTAACTGGCAAAACTATGATATATGATAAAAACTGTTATACTGTCTTGTACTCCACTAAAAGGAATCTGTGCATGCTGAGTGCAAATTCTGCATTTGTCCCTGATCTGGGAAAGAACCTACCCCTTCGTTAAACTACGTTCCAGTGACACCAATGATCAATACTTACACGTTTAAATATTACAATACTGATACATTACTATGTATAATTTTTCAAAATACACAGCAGAGCACAAACTACGATAACCTACAAAGTAAAAATAATATTAGTTCAATCTGGCACCACTGCTTCAACCTTTGTCTCTGTAGCCAGCTAAGGAAGTGGACACAGCACTCTGGCCAGTGATTTTCAAAGAATAAGCCTGTATCAGAGTCGATCTGCAGGGAATGTGTCAGGCCGTCAACGGCGCAGGACAAGGTCTCACGATTCTATTCTTGATACGCACGAGGCGTGACTCAAACATTCATGTGTCTGTTGACAAAACTGAAATGTCACTCACTTCTGACACTGGTTAACAAATACATGGAGCCAAATCATACGCAGATTATTATAAAGTAGATGGGGCAGAGTGAGTTTCTATTCATTGTCCACAGAGGATTAGCCCTGGAGAATGCCTATTCTCCTATCCAATAGGTAGCTCTTGAAACATAATTAGGATACGGCTGACCAAACAGTGAAGTCAAGAACTCAACTGGATTTAGTAAAGTCTTATCTGTACTTCCCCATGAACCAACATGGCATGACAAAAGGATAAGAAATAATTATAACTTTACGCTGGGTCACTCTAAGACATCCTTTTCTTTCAGTCCTACACACAATTAGTTTAGATACTCTATTAAGGTATTTAATGGCATAGAATTACTAATTTATAAATTTACAAACAAAGCTGGGATTCCCTTAAAATAAGCTGTCTGAAATAATGAAAATGCTTATTTCTTGTATCATGTATCTTTAATCTTAATCGTCAGAACATCATGGCTTTAGCATGGTTAAACCGGCTGTGCATCACACTAGCATACCGCTAAACCACAAGAATTGATGTCTGGTTGGTAACCCCATAGTATAGGTGTTAAATCCTCTCCTTCCATATGATAAAGGTCAATGAACATTCCTCAATATTTGTAAGTACGTGTGTATTAATCTTCTATGGGCAACACACGCAAGGAGGTAAAGGTGAGCCACTTTAATCTCTTCACGCGTAAAAGTCTACACAGTGCGACACAACCTCACCATCACTGAATTAACATTCCGAAAATGAAAACGTGACATCACACAGTAACAAAGCTTGAAAATACCAAACAGATCGCTTTATGCATTAAACTCCATATGCTGTCCTAGAAACTACCAAGAAGAGCCTATGCCAAAGAGCAGAGTCCTTGCTAACAGCAGCTCATATAATCAAGAAATTCCCTGCATTTTATGGAACTCAAAGTTCATTACCAGGTCGACGAAAGCCTGTCCCTGAACCACTGAGCATTATTATAACCCCCATTTCTATCAAGATCAATTTTTATATTATCCTCCCATCTATGCCTATGTCTTCCAAGTGGTTCCTTTCCTTCACATTTTTGTAACCAAAACTTTGTATGCATTTACTCGTATAAACCCCCCTTTTTATACTGTCTAGCTTGAGTTGCGTGGTGAGGAGTACAAATTATGAAGTTCATCATTATGCAATTTTCTCCAGCCTCCGCTTACTCCCTCCCTCTCCTCAGCACCTAAATTCATGTCTTCTCTTAAAGTAAAAGGCCATATTTCATGCCCATATGAAACTGCAGGTAAAATTATAGTTCTGATATTTTAATTTTTATGTCATTAGATAGGTAACAGGAAGCTAAAGTTGGCTGTCATCTTTAGGTTGTGAAGCCTCGTGATCCTGTAGGTTGTTAAGAAAATTCTGTAGGAACTTCGGTAACTAACCGTAAGACCGTACAGCATCACAGCCCAGAAGACGATGAGTATCTTCAGTGCTCAAATATATTAAAGTCTGAGAAAGATGAAAAGTTGTGAAGTGAACGGCAGCGTTCCCCAAATTTAATCTTCTCTTTATGTCTTCGGGAATGTAATTTTGGTTTGTTGCCATCATTACCAGATATTTTAAATCTGCGACATTAGAGTGGCTTGTTTTTGTTTCCATTTTAACCTTATTACAAACACATTCAGAATATTAACCTAATATACATGTAGATGACTGTCTTGCGAGTTAGCGCTACAACCAGGAAGACAGCCATCTTTGAAATCACTGCCGTGAAAACCTCAATCCTACTATGCACGTAGTTGTAAGAATTAAGTATGATTTATTAAACATGTGTGATATTAAGAAATAATGAATTTAATTACATGAATGCAGTTAATTTTAAGAAAAACCCAGGCAAAATATGGATATTTGTTGAAGTTCAGATCATATGATCATAATTGCATATAAATCATATTACCTGTTACTCAAATCTAAAAGTTCTTGACGATGGTGAAGAGTCATTTGAATAAAAATTTTCTTGGATATTATCCATCGTCTTGTAAATAAAATATAAGACATAAAACGTATTGAGTTCCATGAGACCCAGAACAGTCGAGAGACAGACTAGGCAGTGTGTGTACGGGATCCCTTGTGATTGCGGTAGATGGTATATCAGCGAAACTAGCAGACCCACGTAAAAGAACAAAATAGTAGAAACAAAATTTGCTGAACATGAAAAAGCCAAATAAAAACAAAGACACACGAAAAGTGGGAATAAATACACATGAACATTAATTTGAAACTCGATGCACAACTTGGACTTCTTCAGAGATGACCGGAATCCAAATATGAGATAAATCCAAACTAAGCTGGCTGATAGGATTGGCAAGTAGTGCCATGTGTGCCGCCTCCTTGTATTTCCTGTAGACGGTATTAGGTTCTGTTAGTAACACCCTGGCTCCATCCCAACAGAAGAAGATCATCATGTCTAGCACGTGGATTCCGGTCATCTCTGAAGAAGTCCAAGTTGTGCATCGAGTTTCAAATTAATGTTCATGTGTATTTATTCCCACATTTTGTGAGTCTTTGTTTTTATTTAGAGCCCCATCTCCGAAATGTCGTTTTACGTCTTATATTTTATTTACTAGACGATGGATAATCCCCACTAAATGGTACCTGCACCATGTCGTGGTGGTGGGGCTTGAGTACCTCAGTGACCCCAAGAGCTATGCTGGCGGTAGCTTAGCTACTGGTAGGGCCTCCCTAGCCAGATTGGTCGAGGGGGAGAGGGCAGACTAAGACAGGTACCCTGGTCCTCCAGGTTGGGGGTTGGTCGCAAGGCTAACGACCTCGCACCGTAAAAAGGAAGATGTTTCGAAACCTCAATCAAAGCCTCGGATAGAATGGACCTAACAATAGGACCGAATGGAAGAGGAGGATTGAGGAGGCCATGGACCGAACGCGGACCGGAGAGCCATAGAAGAAGAAGAAGACGACGGATAATATCCAAGAAAATTTTTATTCAAATTACCTGATACTGTTTATAAATTGCACTCATTGGTTTTCAAGGCTGAGGAAAATGTTAACAGATAAGCCAAAATGGTCTGCGGGCTGCAGCAAATCTCTACATTTAATTTAATTCACTTAAAGAGGTCTTTCTATTCATAGGATGTTCTGCTGTTACATAAACAGCTCCCAAATCCTATTGGTTACTTCCGGGTGCCGCTGAGGGAGTTCAACCACCTAGACTTCCTGTGGGGGAAGGACGTCAGGACCTTGGTTTACGACTACATTCTTGAACTCATGAGCAAATATTAATAAAGAGGACATGGCTCAGGGAAGATCTCACAAAATTGATGATTTGAGGTTCTCACGGCAGTGAGTATGAAGATGGACGTTTTTACTACAACTCACAAGACAGTCATCTTCATCTCATAGAATGGTTCCACACATGACACAAGTAATGGACGGCATATAAAGAAAATCATTAACTTCAATGCTTCATATGCTTCAAATAAAAGGCAGATAAATCTATTTTCAAAAGAGGTTGATTCAAAAATGATATGGCTTGATTATGTCCAATAATGTTCACTGGCTTAGTTGTGGGTGTGCGCTTATCAGATTTTCCGTGTTTCAACAAGATAAAAATGTTTTTGGGGGTGAAAATCAACAATATCTGCAGTTAGATGATATGAAATAGCTTTTCACTCCAGTGTTGTACTTCACTGACTTAAGCGTTCACTTGAATGAGTTAAACGTGAAACTGCGACGTTCAGAGAACGCAGCTGACATAGTTGTCAGTCATAAACACTGCAGTAGTTGAAAAGAAACCAAAATTATGTCAACATGTTTTGAACAGTCACAGACTAGAATGATTCCTTGAAATGGATGATCTTAAAATAATTTGGAACTCGGAGAGACAACATATGGAAGCTTTCTCAGATAATATTACCCCAGCGGAATAAAGGTTTTCCTCGAGATTTTTGGACTTCAATCATATCGAGTAAACAGTAAAGTTTCTGAAGTTCTGACATTGTACAATTCGAAATGTTAGAATGTATTGAACTGCATATTAGTCTATCTCAATTTGGCGTGAGTCCTTTAGTGGACATAAAAATCAAAATCTTAGAAATGGAATGCAAATTTTTAGAAGGGAATGCATATTAAACAAATATTAAGGTTGAAGATAAAGTGACAGAAGGCTAAAACACATTTTTTATACTCTGAAACAATCTTCGGTGGCAGTTAACAATTTTCACATTTATTTATATTTCTGAAATTTATTTTATGCGATGAATAATACAAAATTTGATTTTGGAAACAGACTTATTGATGAAAGCAAAGTTGCTCATGTGAATTTGAGTATGATTAATTATGAACCTGATATAATAGCATCAACAGCTATGATTAAACAGTACACTTCTCACTAACTTGAATGGCAATAATTTATTTAGAACAGGCTATGATGCCATTAAGATAAAAAATTTGATAATTTTAATGTTTACTAGTCTCCACTCTAAACTTTAAGATGACCCAGCATTAGTCAACGTGAACACGTCACTGATTGCAGCAACTACAGTTCTGATCTTAGTTATTTTCATGTTACTTGTGTCCTTCTGCAATATTATCAAGGTTTTCTGTAACAGATGGAGAATTGACAGAGTTAGCGTTGTTTCTAATATAAGCACCTTGTTGCAAGGTAATAATACTAACTTATCATAACAAATATGAAGTCCTTCTAATAAAGTAGAATAAATGGTCCCTTTTATGAATCTTGAAGGGTGACGCCTATCTTCACAAGATCCTGACATGCAATCCGATAAGGAACCAACTGAGTTCATTCCAAACTACAATATTCACTACCTTTAATACCCATTTTAATATAAACCTCCCATTTATGACTAGGTCTCTCAAGTAATATCTCTTCAGTTTTCTTACTGAAATTCTGTGCGTTAATGTGTATTTCTCACTGATCCCCAAGCATGCTACATCTTCCACCAATTTAACGTTATCTGGTTTGATCATGTGAGATGCAAAACGGTACGAGACTGAGTAAAACAATTTTAGATGCAGTGGATAATTAGTCCTTTTACTGTTAGTGAAAGAGAAAATATGTCAGTTAGGTGTGTCTCAGTAAATATTCGACAGACTGACAGAGTCTGGATAATAATGCCATATTCATACCTACACAAGGTAAATATTATTTCTTTTCACTTTAAAACTCAGTTTATACCTAAGACATTACACACTGTCTGCGCAACAAAATAATTTCATTGTACCTTGCTGCATATGTAACTTTACAATGTCCTGTATGTCCACTGATATCTCCCATATGTTGAATAATTTTACACCAATCTTCACGAATGCGGATACATTTACATTTGAACTTTATACCCTTTTTAGTAGTATTTAATAATGGATTCTAAATGTTACTCTAAATCAGGGGTGGCCAGCCCGCGGGCCGCATGTGGCCCGCCTTGAACATTTTTCCGGCCCGCGAGATTCATCACACTTTTACAAAATATATTTATTTTATAATGGCCAAAGTAGTGAAAACCAATGTATTAAAAAAATACATTATTTGTGGGGATATATAATTTTATATGTGGCCCGCGGAGTTATGATGCATTTCCAAAGTGGCCCGAAAGATCATTTGGGTTGGCCACCCCTGCTCTAAATGAATCTTGCCACTGTCAACACATCCTCAAGAAAAAGGTGAAACAACCTCAATTATAGTAGTTTCATCTCTGAACAGATTATTGATGGTGTATAGGTTAGGGTTGTCAGCTGCTTCATTCAGCACCAAGACATATCAGTTTCTGTAAATGTACATGTCAGTGTGATTAATTTGCTGTATAAATAATAGCACGAGGAATATTTAATTTCTTTCACATTATGAAGGAAGTCAGTCCAGTAATAATACTGAACATATGTAAAAAATATTCCTTGATAGGTTTAAAATTTATGAATTAACTGTGGAACATGGGCGCAAGATTTCATGGCTACCAAAATACAACTGCCAGTTTAATCTGACTGAAATGGACTGGTCACAGGCTAAATGGTATCACACAAGCAACAATGGACAGAATGGGATTGGAATGGAAGCAGTGAAAAATACACGGGTGGAATCATTGGAGCAGGTCTGTTCTTTTTGTTCGATGACAACCAAGCAAACGCACACACTGCCTCATGAAATAAATTCAATTACTATTGTGGAATTCTGTTAAAGAATGTGGACGCTGGTACAAATTTCATGTAGGAAAATTCTGTATGGCACACAGAGAGGCTGACGAAGAACACAGCTGGGAAATAAACTTCTACAGAAACCCGAAACCCAGACATCCATCATATTATTAGCACTGAAGAGACCTCTGACGATGAAAATGATTCAGATGACTGACCACTCTCACTGGGATAAACGTTATAGTATTAAACGGTAATTCAAGTTGGCTTGATTCACAATGATGTTACCAGGTAGATGACAGGTATCAGTGAAAGTAAAATGATGATGATACAATTACATATTGTATTCTGTGCATGCACACCACTAACCTAACCTAACTTAAACCTCTGATATATATGTTATGCCACAGCTGACTTCTCTAAACTCATACTTTGTGACTTCCTACATTTGGTAATATCAGCATGACGGTTGCTTGAATTCATGAGACAGAATGAAGGTGAATCCCACAATTCTCTGTGCGTCACCAACTTAACATAATCTAATAAGAATTCACTTGTGATATCTGCCTGTGTGCATCTAACAATTTGATTATGTCTAAAAGGATTTTAAAGAAATTTGTTATGGCTACGACTACTCCAAACAGTTACTTTTCAAGTTCCTGTGCTTGGTAGTACCAACAGGACTGATGCTTCAATTAGTGAGGTGGGATGATGATGTTATTAAATTTCCTATATTTCATAATATCAATGAGATGGATGCCAAAGTCATGATGTTAAACAATGGTGACTCAATTATTCATAATGGTGATGATGTCATCAGCCTACATAAGGTAATTTTTAATAACTAACTAGCTAGCTTATGGGAACCCAAAGGTTCATCACCAAATTAACCAAAGCCCTCCACCAGTCCCTATCCTGGGCCAACAAAATCCAGTCACCTTCAACTCCTATCTCCCATAGATCCCACCTGACATTATCCTCCCATCTACGTCTAGGTCTCCCCAGAGGTCTCTTCCCCTCAGGCTTCCCAAATAGTGGACCCAACCAACCAGATGGCTTAC